AGGGGGAACTGCTCCAGCCAGAATGGCCATGTGGGCCCCACAGTCCTTCCAAGAGGCAGCAGCCAGAACAGGCACAGTGTAAACAGTTTGACCTGGATTCCAGGATGGAGCATTTCAAGGCCTTAAGCTCCATGTTGGGTAGAAAGAGTGACCCTTAGGTTTTCCCTCTTCCCCTGACTGGCCAGCTGCTCTAAACCGCTGCAGATTTTGCATTAACATTCTGCAGCAGTGCACGTGAGTTGCAACCTCTGTTTTAGAAACAGGCACAGAGATCTTTCAGAGCTATGTTGAGCAGATAGGAATGCTGTCTGGTCCCAGAGCTGCTGTGAATGCTGTTGCAGCATTAAACAAGCTCTTCTTTCAAAACCAGCAAAAAAAAAAACCCTCATGCTGGCGCAATCTGCAGGCTGAGTCACATGACAAGTACTCCGCAATTAACAAGAAGAATCTGTTCCCTGGTGTTTCATTTTCCCTTGGGATTTGGTAATGATGTGTAATACATTAGTGCAAGGAAGCAGGATGTGGTAAGCCCCGCTCTCCTCCTTGCACAGCTTTTCATGGACCTCAACCCAAATGTGGAAGATTTGCCCAGGGTGCAAGAGGAGAGCCATATTCCAGGCATTGTCATTTCTGGGCTTCTGGAGAAACTGCCAGTGAAAGTACCAGTTGTACTGAGCTTTTTGCGGGGGTGGGCTCTTCTCTCTGAAGAGCTGAATGGACAGACATCATGATGTGTTTCTGCAGAATAGTTAGTTAAATACAATATCTACATCACAGTTGACTATTACCACTAAGCTAGAAGGGTCACATTTGCTTCCCTCTCTGGAATGATATCCCATCTCATTGATATCGCTGCAGTAATGATGGCTCCTTTTTTAAAACCAGACTGCTTGATAGAGGACAGGAATCCCCTGCTCAGGGGAAGTTGCCAGCAGTGTTGCAGCCACACAAGTGCTCTTGGAGAGGATAGATAGTAGACTCACAGAAGGGCTTTGAATAGTCAAACTGAAAAAAAATTAGCTTGTTTCAAATTAATTTTTTTTTCTTCTACAGAAAGAAGCTGTTATCTTCATCGGCTTCTCCTGTCACTGAATAGGATGATATTTTTTTTTTTTTTTTTTTTTTTAAAAAATGTGGAACCAGCATCAGAGATCCCCGCTCTAGGATGCGATGTACAGGAAAGCTTGTTCTGTGATGACATTTGGCAACATCCTGCCCTTTTCCAACTATCGTTGTCCCAACAACATGGGATTTTTTAATTTTTTTTTTTTTTTAACCTGTATTATCATTCCTAACCGAGGTATGCATTGCATGCCCGCTGAGCAGATGGTGATGCAGTGAAGTCCAGAATTTCATCCAGGTAGCCTGTTAAACTCTCTTCCTGCTCTCTTGTAAGGATGGAAAATGTAAGCTAGTCTCTGATAGAAGCAAGACTACTCCTACTCTTTTCCTATCTCAAAGAAAGGATGAAGGAGAAAGCCTTAGTTCTTTCTTGGCTGAGATGCTTATCTTTCCAGAGGTGTAGGTAACTATTCTGTGAGTTTTAATTATGACTTCCTCTTGTGAAGTATGTGTTAACCTGAGCAGCAGTTATCCCTTTGCAGTGGCTGTGAAGAATTAAATGACAAACCCAGTGTCGCTGAGTTACTTAGCACAGTCCATGCCAGATTAGGCAGCTGTTAGCAGTTTGAAAGAGGAGATGCCTATCCTTACCAAGATCACCCCTTTTGGCCCACGCCTCCCTGCCTCTTGAAGGTGCTGATCTGTAGAGTAGTCTGTCTTGTGTATCCTGTCTGCAGGGCTGGTGTCTGCAGAGTGCAGAGTGGCTTGTATGGCTGGCACTGTGAGTGCATAATTTCTTTTGAAGGCAGGGAAACAGTCAGCAGAACTCACTCGCCAGCTAGTTGCCTGCCTGGTGCCTTTTTTTTTTTTTTTTTAATCTTTCTATCTTTTATACCACTGTAATCTTTCGGGAGGGAAACCATCAGCACCAGCTTCTGTTGTCACAAGATGCATATAGGTGTGTGACTTCAGACAAACAAGCAATAATAAGGAATAGTTTACTTCTGGATCACCAGGCTGTGACGAAGCTGTCCAGCATCCTACAACTGCCTGCAGCCTCGTCGGAGAGCACATGCACACCTCTGGCTGCTCTGTGGCTTGCGTTAGCCCTAGTTGTCAGCACTGACAGCACATCATGAAGCCTGTTGCCCTCTCCAACACTGCAAAGCCTGTGCAGTCAGGCTTGGGGTACCTCTATGGCACCCATCACAGTGACCTCATCTGTTTTCTTACACCGCTGTCTCTTAAAAGTTTCCCTGCCCTGAATAGCTCTCTTACAAAGCAGCATGGCTAAAATTTTATTTTCTTAAATGTTCACTCTAAGCATAGCCAGCTGACGTGCATAGGGCACATCTATCAACTTTTCTAGCTTTGTACTGAGGTGGAGATGTCAGAAAGAGAAATGCCAACGAATAGCGGCTCAAGCCTTTCCTGGATTCGTGGTCTGCATGGGAAAAGAGGCATGTGTATGAAACTGGAGTAAAAGGCCATTTTAAAATAGCTAAGTGCTTGCTAAAACCCAGTGTTTCCAAGGGTATGGATGCAGTTGGCACTCACTACATCTCATCCCTTTGGTAGTGTAAAGCTGAATCTAGGTTGCACCTAGTAAATACTCCTAGGTTTTCTGCCTACCTGAGGGTGCTTTTCTACAGGGGCCATTTTCTGACAGCTACTGATGAACATGAATACGAACATGTGGTCAGCAAACTCCTTGTTTTACAGTGATGTGACAAAGTTTTATTGTGATTGGATTTTATCATGATTTTTGACTTTCTTATGGGAGCAGTTCTTGCTCTTTTAAAACACTTTCTACACATTGCTAGATTCCCTGAAGAGATCAAAGATATTTTTAATTCACTTTAAATCTTTCTATGTTGAATTCATTTAAATGTCTGTTATAAGCTATTTTTGTTGAGGTTGCAGGTTGATAAAATGCAGCTAAGAGAATGCATGTGAATTGCTGCCCCTCAAAAGCAGTGCAGACAAGGGGCTATAGTATAGTTGGAGAGGCATTGATGTATTATGTGTAACAGAGCATTGGTATTTTTTGCCAGTACAACTAAAGACACTTGAATAATTCCTGTTTGCACTTAATGCTATTGTTTATATTGCATGTCACTACATTTCTATGCAAAACAAATAACCTTTTTTTTGGGAGGAGGGGCAGCCAGATATTTGATTAAGTATAAAGATCTTTGCGAGATGATCTATTTTCGTATTTATGAAGGAGTTTTACGTCTTAATATTTTGCAGTCTGTAAATAGCTCAACTTGTAATTAAAGGCTTAGGAAGAAGTTTGTAGCCTGTGTATAATAGTAAGTTAACACTGCCAGAAAAAAAATCTTTGCAAAACAACTTTTCTAATATTGTGGATATTTATGAATATGTAAAGAAAGCACGTCTTGTTTTTATGTTGATTGACCTTCTGACTTCTTTTGAACTATAGAAATGGTGTATGTTTTATTGGAACTGCAATAAGAAGTAACCAAAGATGAATCCAGTTAAATATTTTCATAATTTTTTCTCGGTCAGGTTTTGTAAACTTTCCCAACTTGCTTTCAAAATAAAAATAAAATCAAGGCCTGAGTCTTGTGATTAAGAGGGCAACTCTGGGTTAAAAAAGCTGGCTCAAATGCTTACTTAAGCTATGGATGACATTAATACCTGGCTTGAGATTGTATTCACTATTACTCGGTGCTGAATTATAAACAGGGAGAACTGTCACCCTTACTCAGTGTTATTTCTCTCCTGCATCTTACTGAAGTGTTACATTATTAAATCCACGAGACTCAAGGACTTTTTCTGCTCTGCCTTATAGCACTCTGAAGCGTAGGCAGTAACTTGTGACCTACAAGACAAGATGGCTTTTGATAGCACTCAGCCTGCAGGGAGCTTGCCGTTGTGGCTGCTCTGTTCTAGCCCTACAGAGTGGCTTCGGTAGCACAGGAAGCAGTGCAGTTTGAGAGGACCACATCTGGCTTTAAGTCCCACTGCATCTCCCCTTACTTCTAAGTTTGAAGACCTGCTGTGGCTTGGTTCTGCATGCAGTTACCCTGCACTAGCATCAGCTGGCCCATTTGGGAGGAGAAGCTTTCTCCTTCCCTTCTCTCCTGTAGGAGCAAAGGTCTTTTCTATGTTTGCTGTAACCAAGATTAAGGTAGAGTACAAATATGAAGTGGGATAGCTCTCCCAGGTGCATGTTCTAAACCAACCATGGTCAGTGTCTCTTTTTTCTTTAAAAAAAAAACAAACCCACAACACTTTTTTTCTTTTTTGACTTCCTTAGAAATAATTATGAGGGTTATAGGGAATTACCCTACCAGCAGTGACTGAAAGCAGTAACACTTGACTAAACATTGACAAAAACGTATGCTTTGCCTGAAGAGCTAGCCTGCTTTCATCTGGTGTCTGGCAGAAGCATCGCATCTTCCTCCAGTCACTGTTTATAGCATTTTCTCTCAAGCTGGTTCTATGGGTCAACAGCCTGGAGCTTTCAGATGTGTTTTTGTAGGTAGACTTTGACCTTTAGCACATGGTTGTTTTGAAAAGGTCTGTCCCACCCTAAACCACTAGGTTAAGTGGCAGCACGTAGTAAGGCTGTAGGTGCAGTAAGGATAAAGGCAAGATCTGGGAGGAGGTTGGGGCTCTAACATGCCAAGAAGTTAAGTGGGAAGCTCTGGCCTCTGTCTCCTCTTGTTATCAAGGGATTACCCTTTTCATCTTCTGCAAGAAGTGAAACCCATGCTAAAGTAGCTAGCATCTGGTCTTTCCAGCAAGGCAACCCTAGGTTGTTTTTTCAAAACCCATGTTGAGTGCAGAGCACGGAACTGAAACTTGCAGCCCTAGGTGCAGTTGGAGTGGTGCGCTTTTCATCCCTCTTCTCCAACCTCACCCCTGCCTTCACAGCCCAACATGCCGCTAAGGAACACCAGGGGGAATTCCAATTGAGAGCAATTTAATCGGTCAGAAGTTAAAACAAAAACAGGGATAAGAAATTTGCTCTTCATCTGGTCAGTTCTTGCTGGAATAAAGAACTTAAAAACTTGAGGGGAAAAAAAAAGCTCAGTTCAGGGAGGAGTCCTCTAGCTCTATCCACTGGCCCAAGCCAACTTCATCTTCTGGCTGTGAGCTTTGGAAGATTTAGAAAACAAGCTCTTCACTATCTGAAGTGGCACTGACTTCCCACTGAGGTACAGTTTATTGTGGCAGTCTGGCAACCAGGGCTCTGCACCAGTGTCCGTGTTTTTTCCCTTCTTGAGCATCCAGACGTAAGCCATGATGTAGCCAGTCATGAATGCATCAAAGCCAGCTCGGTGTGTGCCTCCCTGTGACGGTGGACCATGGGTTTCCTTTTGCTCTTCTGCAGCACATGCTGCTTCAGTCTTGGGGATGTCTGGGTGATTGACTGAGCCCACCCCAGCGGGAACCTCTGACTTCCCCTCCACTTGGTCACTGTCAGAGGCATTTCCCGTGGCTGAAGGGCTCACAGCAGCTGCTACCTGGGCAGCAGTTCCTTCAGTGCTCCCCAGAGCCTCTTCCCGTTGTGCACTGGTGTCTGAGCTGACCTCTGGTTCCGTGTCCATGGAGTTCTCCTCCAGTGGCCTGCCCTCACTGTTGGGTGTGATCTCTGCCGCCTCTGTAGCAGCTGCAGGCTCAAAGCAGCTCTGTTTTCGTGGTGGTCCCTCCTCCCCATTCTGAGCTAGCTCCACTTCTTTCCCTGAGCTTTCCTGCTCAAATGCCTTTGCAGGCTCTTCTGTGTTCTTCCGACGCTTCCATTTGTGCTTCCGTTTCTTCCGCTTCTCCTCCCAAAGCTTGTCGTCTTCATCAATTATGAGGTCAATGTTATGAGACTGTGGACACTTCACCCCTTTTGGACACCAGCCATAGGCCTAGGGAGAAAGAGAGGTCTGTAGCCGCCAGCCTCCTGGTCAGAGCAGCTTATCACCAGAACACAGAGCGGAGCTAATTATTCCCCTCTACTGAGGGCTCGTGAGGCTGTATTGGGAGCACTGCGCCCAGTTACAGTCCCACAACACACAAGAAAGGCATTGACCAACTGCAGTGAGCGCAGCAGGGGGCTGTCAAGATGCAGCACACACTGTATGAAGAGAGGCCAAGGAAGGTGGGTTTGTTCTGCCTGGAGAAGATGAGGCTGAGGGGATATCTAGTTGCTATCTGCAGCTACCTAAAGCAAAGGTTATAGAAAAGATGGAGCTAGACTCCTCTGAGGGGAGCACAGGGAAAGGTGAAGTGGTAACAAGTCAGGGGAAGTTCTGACTAGATATATAGAAAAACATTTTTCACAATGAGTGGTCAAACGCTGGAACAAGGGGCTTGGAGGGGTTTTGTAATCTCTGTCCTTGGAGATTTTCAAAATTCACCAAACAAGGCTCTGAGCGACACTGAGTTGGTGGTTGGAGGAGAAACTTCCAGAGGTTTACACAACCTGTGTCATTCTGTGACAGTAACGTGCAACATCTGGAAGAGCTCCTTTTCTCCCTGAAGCATCTGAAACCACTTATGATCTGATCAGATGGGCTCTTTGTTTACTGCTGTAGCAGCACGAGGACCCGAGATGCTGTGAATCATACTGTACTACAGTCCCAGAAGCTGCAGACAAGTAATATTTTCTTATATCTAATCAAGATATGGGGGAGGGGAGAGGTGGCATTTCTTGCTCAGAGGACAAGGCAAACTAATTTAGAACTTACAGCCCTCCCAAGCCAGCAATGGGTACTGTATCTTGTACCATCCCACTATTTAGGGCCACATAATCTGTTTCTGAATCTTTGTGTCTAACGTAGCCTGTGGAATTCACCGCCTCCAAACAGAGCATGCTATTGCCCTTTCCGCCATGAAGCCACCTGAAGCTTGAAAATCTTCCTTGTACTGTGAAGCAAGCAAGGGGAAGTTCCCAGGTGCTTTCCTACCACTTCCTGCTCTGGCCACATGTGGCTCTTATCAGGGAGCCAGGAAGGAAGCAGGGATTCATGTTACTTACCGAAAATTTCTCACAGACAGGCACTTTATTTCCCGCTCCCACACTGTGGCTTTCTTCTTCCAGAGAGCAGTGGCGATAGTCAATGTAACGGGACATGTTGGCAGGGTAGTTGCAGAACTCAACAGTGAGGTGCTGGCCGCTGGAGTCCTTCAGCTTGCAGTTCTCCCGCTTGCTGGAACAAGAGTACACAGTTACTGCAGTTAACTCACTGAAGGTACCACGGCGTGGAGCGGGTGCAAACAACGCTGCTCTCCACAAGTCTCAACTCTACTAGTTTCCTGCTCTTGAGCTCTAGCCGGCTCGACAGAAACTCAGTCCCAGGAGAACAGCTTTAGTAAGCAGTTGCTTCTGTGCCGATTTAAAGGTTGGTTTCTCTTACGCCGACATACAGGCAGGGACAACAGTGTCTCTGGTGAAGCTATGGGGGAAGGGGACACATAGCTTGGTTTTAAATATTAAAGGCATTAAGACATGTGTTATTCTTAATAATGTTAACGGACAAAGAAGAAATGCCCCAAAACGAGGTATCATGTAGAGCATCCAGCAGCCACCGCCCAGACAGGTCGAACCCGGGCAATGCAGACAACAAACTTTTTCTATTTCATGAGAAAAGAACTGTTTTGTCCCAGGAGCTGTCTAAAAGGCCGAAAACCTTTGGAAAGCTCCATGCAACTAGAATTGTTGGTTAAAACATTTAAGAGGTCAGTTTAAAAAGTATTTTTATCCCGTCAAAACAAAGCATCCTCATGTTTGAGAACAGCTATCTTGAACGTTTTCAGACCTGTCAAAATGGCATTTCCCGATATAAAACAGTCCCTAAAAATACCATTTCTCCTCTGCACAGAGCGTGACTTCAGTTTAGTGGAGATTCAAGGGGCTGTATCACTGCCAGGGGCTTGTTTAGGTTGCGTGGGGAGTGCAGAACCAGGGACCAGACTGATGGGTGAAGTGGACAGACATCTCTGCTTCTAGCCTGCGTCTGCCTGGAAGATACCCACAAAGAGCTGGGGGGCAGGAAGCAAGACAGAACACCCTGGAACAAGAGCACAACCTTTGCTCGGAAGGAAAGCGATGGGAGCTGTAGCTGGCCACACGCCAGCGTCACGTGCCGGCCACGTGACAGAGCTGGTCAGCGTCAGGAGGCGCAGGGAGCACTCACCCTTTGACTGCACCTTCCCTTACAAAACCGAGTTATAACTAGCAGACCCTGCGGGCACAGCCCTGTTTCCGTTTGCTCTCTAACTGAGTTTTAAGGGTCTCTCTTCCGTGTGTGTTCCTGCTGCGGCCCTGCTGGACCAGGGCCGTGCAGTGCATCCATTATTTTTCAGTTAGATCAGATCACTCTGTGGTCAAAACTGCTGCCAGAAATCCTCCTCCAGCAGCTGCTCACCGAACAGATAAGGCGTATTACCACATGCGCACTTATGCACTCAGCACCCGTCCTAGAAGTGGGAAGAGCACGGGGCAGAGTTACCTGAAAAGCACCTTTCTTTGCTCACGGGGATAACACAAAGAGCCAACCCCCTTGCCTGGATGGACAAACAAACAAAACACTGATGCTCCCTTTGCCTTTCCTCCCGTAAGTTTTAAATACCAGAGCGCCGCTCACCACTTCTTGTAAGCATACTCCAAGTAGGATGCTACAAAGCGAGTCTCAAACTCTGAAGCGTATTTGGTGTCGTATGCGTGAAGCGTTTCCGAGAGTTCAGCGGTGAAGGTGCCGAGGCTGTCCGGGAGGTGAGCATAGAAGCACTGGTACAGGAAGACCAGATCGATCAGGCCGTTATGGAGAACGAGAGGCTTCTTCGCTCGTATGAGCTCCAGAAAAAAAGTCCGAACGCTCTGGCTCTGGTTCTCATTGCCCTGCAAGAAGGAGGATTAGTCAACGAGCCTCAGCGCCATGACCTGCCACCACCCCGGGAAGTCCTCAGAGCCTGCTGTAGCAGAGTACTGCCTACAGCTATTTCTTGCTCTCACCAAACAGAGGCCCAAATATTTGGAAAAGCAACTGCAACAAGTGACAGCCTGGATATGAAACGGCACGGAGGTGAAAGGGATAACGCTGCACTCGAGGCCCCGGCATGAGCCCATCTTCACTCAGCAGCTGCGAGGGAGACGCCAGGACCGGGGGAAGCCGGCAGCCTCCCCAGAAACCTGGGGCAGAGCAAGCTGAGGTGTCGGAAGGAGAGTTGTTTTGTACCTTGTCGTTGCCCTTGTGGTAAGGAATCCCCTGGGAGTACTGCTTGTTGAAGTCAAAGCCGTGCTGCACCAGGAACTGCACCGACTGGGGTTCGACAATATAATCCTCCATGCAGAGGAGCGTCAGGTTGTAGATCTGGCAGAGGTACGTGTTCTCGGACTGCAGGAGGAGAGCGTGCAAAGCAATACAGGCACACCTGTCACAGGGAGCTGCCGAAAAAGCCAGGGGCCGACCCGCGGAGCACGGGCGGGTTGAGTCCCGTCTCCCAGCGGAGCCCCGGTGCCCGCTGCTCCCTCGGCAGGCGGGAACAAGAGGAAACGGCCGCTCAGCGGCCCGTGCACCTACCTGCTCGGGGAGCCGCTTGAAACACGCGACGCCCAGGGAGAGGACGGAGCGGGGCCTGGGCCGCGCGGCGACCGCCC